TGTTCCTCCTGACACCGAGCCGATACATCATCCCTTGCACATATCCCCTTTTTCTCATTTTCATCGTTTCTCTCCTCGCTTGCTCTGGCTCTCTGCTAAGTCCATCACAGCTTTGTTTTTATATCCTCATTGCTGTATTTTATAGCCCAGTAAAACCTAGAAAGCTGCTTCAGAAAACACACATGCCAGCCCTTTGATGTTTGTATTTGTGTGGCAGCTCGCTGGAATTTGTCAGCACTCACACAGAGACAAAGACTTTTGAACTTGCCTGCTGCTAGAATCAACTGCTGCCAGACATCAGACAGAAGGCAGTGAGCAATGTAACAAAGGCAAGAATAATAATAAAAAAGAGGCAGGTGAAAACTTTCCTCTCTAGGTCCGACATGTTTTTGATTGAGAAAAATATCATGGCTTTGACTTTCAAAGCGCTGAGCTCCGTCCCCAGGACTCCTGTTGCATTCAATAGGACTGGTGCATGTAAGCAGATCTGAGAGGATGGATTTGATCCAAAGGATGCTCTGGTACAGCTGTAATGCTGTGGTTTAATGAACTGTATTGCCTTTCCCAGTGTGGTAAGCTCCATGACAAAGTCTGCGAGACTGGTGAAAGGTGGCACCTCCAGCAAGGAAAGCATATGCCAAATATAGCCAAGGAAAAAGGCTCTTGGCTTTCACTTCAAGGTTCCCCCAACCCCAAAAACAAAAAGCAGAGATAGTCACTTGGCTACAGAGGTCTGTGAATGCAGATTGGAAATGGCAATGTCTAGCCCAGGGTCACATTGGCAAATGCTTGTAAAAATAACCAGGATTTGATTGCACACTGCCCAGGAAAGAAGAACCAGTTAGTTTCCCACCAGTGCACCCTAACAAGAATTTACACTTCTAGTGTTTGACACCTCTCATGCCAAAACCTGGGCATACTTTAAAGACATCAGCAAACTCAACTTCTTGACAGCCCTATGAAGAAGCATTATTATCTCTATCTTACAGGTAAAGGCAGAAAGTTGCTTGCTTCCTTGCAAAAGCCCAGAAAAGGAAACCTGGGGGACTGACTATATCTGCACCAGCAGGTTGCAGAATGGTTCCATGGGTGTGCCAGGGCCTTTGGTAGAGTCACACACAGCTGCTGTAAATCCATGATGATCCAGGAAAGCCAATCAAAAAAAGATCAAAGGTCAAAATTCTGCCCAAGCTGAGTAGCTACCATGGTTCAGGGCACACCAGTTTTTTAGCCAACAGCACGCAAAAAAAAGATGTGCCTAATATCATGCTCAGATGCCTTTCACTTCCCACCCTAAAGGACCATTTACAGTAAGATCAACCAGAGACAGTCCTCACCACAAGTCTAGCAAAAGCTGAAGTTCAGACCTCAGGCGCCCTGTGGCCATGCCCCCGCAGAGCACAGAAGCAGCTACAAGCCACAACCAAGGTTAGTTAGGCTCTATTATTCCTGGCACACAAGAGACACTACCCCAAAGATCAGGCAATGTCATGCCATCTTCCTCATACAGATAAAGGATGGAAAGGAAAACTGAGGTATAGAGAGATGAAGTAACCAACTGAAGAGCTGGGAGTACAATACACATCCCCTGACTCTGAAGCCAAGAAGCAAATGTTAGCCAGCACTACCTGTTTCTGACCCTCGTGTAGGGCAAACCCCTTCACAAAGCTTGTTTTTAAGGAGCTTTTTCAGTGAAATATAGGTATGATCCTACATCAGTCGATCAGCAAACTCCAAGACCAATTTCCAGTCCAGTGCTCTAAACTAGGCATGTCATACTCACCTTGTCTCCCCAGCTAGATCCAGTCTGGGGGCTGCTCATGGACCAGATGTGGACCTGATGATGGCAAGGTGAGGTTAGTGGTGGCAAGGCATGTGGTGGCATTGTGAGCAGCTCTCACCTCTTTGCCACTGAAGTCAGCCCCCAATGAGGCCCTGTAGCCCCAAATCCAGTGACAGACTCTGCCCCCAGCTCACCCCCATCTCCCCCAGAACAGGTCAGATCCATCCCACAAGCAGTTTGTTCGACACTTCTGCTCTAAACAGTACCCATTTATTGCATAACAACGCATGGACTTGAATGGGCTTGGATTAGCCCCCCTAATGGTATGGATTATCCATATTTTCTACAAAATTATCTATATAATTACTATAAAATAAATTCTGTCCTAAATCATATGATGTATTGGTTCCTGGTTTTTTTCTCTCTAGGTTTTACATATGCAATGTAAAAATAATACCATCAAAACTTAACCCAAAAAGTTAAATAATTTTGCACTTTCGCTTGTTAATCTGTGGGATTTGAGGAGACACCCAGCAGAAAATATCTCTGTTTTACATAGGAGCTAAAGAAACTTCTGTGCTGAGACAGAGCTTGAGACCTTAGCAACTTTTGTTACAGTATAACCTGAATGGAGTTCATATAACATAGTCGCCAAATCACAAACTTTTTGTGAATCTGTTAATGTTTAAATCTTTCCTCTAAGCCTCAGCTTTAAGAAAGGATTGTATGAAAATGTCAGATCTCATTCAGGGTGGGGGGAGCACTTTTTTAATTCTTGTGAGTGTAAAGAAAAGTTTAAGAATGTGAACTCCTTGATCACTGAAAAAACCACAGAGTTGTTATTTTTTAACGTAATTTTTAAGCTATCCTCAGGATCTTGGAGACTTGACAAGTTTTGATCACATGCGATTGGCAGCACCACATGTGTTAGGTTAAGAGATCGACTACACCATTCCTCAGTTAAACCAGTCTTAAAAACAGTGCAGGGTCTCAAATAGAAGACTGAGCCTATTGATGTGTCATTTTAGTATTGATGTAGTATAGTAGCACCTCACAGAAAAGCAAACACTATTTCATCTCCTCGAAGAATGCCTAGAGGGAGGGAGATTGTATCATCCCTTCTTTTTCACATCAGAGCACAAGTTAAATTCAGTTATGAATTACCTTGTCAGGATTAGTTGAATGCATCTGTAAACTATTTCTAAGAGATACATTATATCTGTGATTTAGACTCATCCATCTGAAATCAAATTAGAGCCTTAAGAATAAGCTTTGCAGCTCAGGTGATTCAGACGAATGTCTCCTTATAGGTTTTAACCTGCTTGGTGATCTGAATACATGCTAATGTGATTGAGCTAGGGCATTGCTAGCTTTCTCCATCTATGTGGTTGTCTGCCATGACTGATGCTGACTTGGGAGCTGGAGAGGAATTTAATCTCTCATGACCAAATTTACAGATGAAATAGGCTTCTCTCCTCACAGGCTATGTTAGTTAAAGATAATCAGAAGTGGTAAGTAATACCTGTAAAAAAGTTTGAAATAAAATGTCCTTTAAAAAAAAAATCATTAATTTGCTTGGCTTTCAATTGAACAAAACTAAATGAAAAATATTCCATTTTCTGCTCCCTTCCCTTTTTTCTGTCTTTTCTTTTCTTTCTTCCCTGTGGAAAAAATCGTATTTTTTTAAATACCATAATCTTCTCCATATGTCTAAATTATGGAACATCTCATTGATGTTCAGTGTTTAGGCTGCTTGTTTCCTCTCTTGTACGCCAGTCAGCCTGGTCTACTTAACCCAGGCATAATGGATAGCAAAAGCCCCCACTTCAGCTAGAAAGAAAAGCTGGGTTTCTGGATAGAGGCCTGGGTGTTATGTTCCTGACTGTTGCAGTGGGCAAGTCATTCAGTGTCAGATCCACTTCAGCCTTGTAGGTGACTCCATTTAGGTTTTAGCACACCTAAAAAAAAGCAGGGTGTTGCCCCACAGGGTGATCCAAATACAGCAGTGGTCTCCAACCTTTTTAAGTAGGACATCACCTTTGGCATTTAAAAGCAACCCAAGATCTACCATGTGCTGCTGCTCCCCCACTCCCGACCCTTCTGCCCAGCAGGTAAGTCTGTGGGGAGGGAAGGAGTGGGGCAGATTGAGGCAGAAGGAGAAAAAATGATTTGGGGGCGCACCTCCCCAGCAGGTAAGTCCCACCTGGCCGGAGCCCCACTCAGTTTACCCCTGCTGTTGCCTCTGCGGCACTGTCCCTCACCACAGGGGCCTCGATCTAGCCCCCACCCCTTCCCTCTCCAGTGGACTGACCTGCTGGGTTGGGGCATGTGTGTGCATGTACACAGGCACTCAGCCCCCCGCCCCAGCCTCAAATCGACCCCAAAAGGCTCTGAGATCTACCAGTGGATCGAGATCCACTGTTTGGTGACCACTGAAACACAGTGAAGCACCTAAGTTCCCTATAGAGTCAACAGAGAGAGTTATGCACCTCCAAAAGATGACCCAGAGCGCTTGAAGCAGGGGCAGGCAATTATTTTGGGCAGAGAGCCGCTTACCCAGTTTTGGCAAGCTATTGAGGGCCACATGGGTAGCCCCACCCCTTTACAAGTGCCCTGCCCCCTGGTCACCATCTTGGGACCAATGTCCCAGGGTCAGACACCAGTGGGGCCCAGAGTTGCACCAGAGGGCAGACACCAGAGGGCATAGGCTGGCAGGGGTCTGCGGAGCCAGGCTGGGCTGCACCAGCAGGGAGTGGAGGGAGCTGGGCCGGCTCCATAGAGCCCCTGCTGGCCGGGACCCTGTACTCCTGCCATCCTGCTCTGGGCCCCGCTGGTGCTGGCTCCAGGACACCAGTGAGGGCCCCATGCTCCCGCTCACTCCCAGTGCCCCCAGCCTCACAGTACAGGCGGGGGGGAGCATGCAGTACCAACCCGCTGCTCCATGCCAGGTAACAAGCTGGAGCTGAGTGTGGGGAAAAGTGGCCCCTCACCCTCCCTGTGGCCGGCGCTCCCAGCTGCAGCTACTC